GGTGTGGGGGGGGGTGGGGAGGAATTTCTTTGACTTTTCCTTTTTTTTTTTTTTTCCTTTGGACTTTTGAGTGTGTTGGTTGGGATGCGAGAACGGGCGATTGAGCCAGCTCCTGCCTGGATTGCAGCGAGAAACAATGCCTGAAGAGCCAGAGAATGGGGAGAACCGTTAACAAAAGGGGAGCGAAGGGGGGGATTTGTGAGCAGGGGTGTTTCTGATGGCTGGTTGGGGAGGAGAAGGTGCTCAGCAGTCCCGCTTCGCTCTCAGGGTCTGCGCTGGATCAGTTGTCTGTGACCTGTTGAGGGGAGAAATGGGAGCTGGGATGAGATGGGAGCAGTGGGTGGCTGGTGGGGTCGCTGGAGCTGGGGCGGGAGGGAAACAGCGGCCGAGCGTTTGCAGTGCTTGGGGATAAAGGGCTGTTTCCATAGTAAAAGGGAGAAAGGAGCCTCTCTCTTTCTTCCCCTGAGCTCGCCTAGCATGTGAACGGGGAGGTCGACTTGGGAACAAATAACCCGTGAAAGGGTAACATCTGGGAACAGCTGTAAATAATCAGGACTTGGTTGGAAAGGCTGGAAGCAACCTTCTGCTCCAACGTTTGCCCCGCCGCTGCACATCACCCTGGGAGTTTTGATGGGCAACTGTTTGGAGAGGAGTTTAGTTCACAGCCGAAAGCAGGATCTGGCCCTGGCTTTAGTCTGCTGTTGTTGTCCGACTACTGCCACGTTATTTGTAGGCATAACCATAATTAGCAGTGAAATGGGGAATTTTCACTTCTAGGAAAGAGTGAATTTTAATTCAAGGTCAGACGCTCAGCTGATACGAACCTGGGGACCAGCCCCAGGTCAACTTTGGGTTGGATAGTGCAAAAGTTGATTAGCTGGATGTCCGGCCCATGGTGTACATCACCTCCTCTTCACTTCTACGTTTTCTTTGGGAACCCTGATCTCACATTATAGTGTCTCTCAGGACTTATTCTCCGGCACGTGATACCAGGTGTAAGGGCAAGAGAGAACAGAAATAATTTTCTACAGCTGCTCAGAGCTTTTAAGCTGCATTTAACAAAACAAAACAAAAAAGCATAATGTACCATGGGACCAGCTGGATTTTAATTAAAAAAATGTTCTGAATGTGAAAGGAGCCAAAACTGTTGCTTCCTTTCCAACTTTGCTATTGGAATGTTTAAAAGGTGTGCAAGATTTCCAGGGCAATTTGAAATCTTTGCAGAAAAAGGCAAAGCTGGGTTTCATGACCAGTCCTGAGACTTTCTTATGCCATGGTGGTGGAGGTGACTGGGTGGTGTCTTTTGAGCTTTATAGTCATGAAAATGCAGTTCTTTAAATCTGATGGTGGTAGCTTCTTGTGAGACTACCTGCAGCTTACAAAGTGCCTCTGCGCAAGTTGTCACCATACAGTGGTGTTTAGTGTGATAAAATATCAGCCAAAATTTACTTTTTTTTTTTTTTTTTTTTTTAATATTTGGCCCTTTGACAATGTACACTTAATTTCCTTGCTGTGTCAGAGCTCAGAAGCCCTCCTTCAGGCAAACGTGTCTCATTGCGTGAAAATGGCTTCAGAAGTCATCACCCATCAGCTGAGACACTTGTGCTTCTCCCTGCTCACAGGTGTGGAGCAGATCCTGCCCCGTGGCCAGGTCCCAGCTCGGTGGCTTTGTGTGGAGGGGACAGGCTGGAGGGCGCTCTGTGATGGTTGTTCCCTGCGGATTGCAATGCTGGGCATGTGTGCAACAATAGCCTGGCTTCGGTCCAAACCTAACTGTCTTGGGATATTTTGAAGGAGGAGGTCTGAACCTCATCCTGGAGTGACCACCTGTGGTTTGGGTTGTAGGATTGTAGGATGAATGAGGGTCTTGGGCTACTTTTTAGAAGAGCAGATAGGATAAGAAGTTTGGAAGATCCTTTGAGCTTCAGATCTTACGGGAAGAAAAGAAAGGGAGCTGGTGTGGGTAGAGCAGCTTGGAGACACGATCTGTGATGCACCCTGGACCCATGGCAGGATGAGCCCTGAGGGCAGCACAGGCTTGGCTCCAGGTTGAGACCTCTGCTCCAGCTACGGACACCTTGTGTGAGAGAGCTGAGCAGGCTGCCTGCAGGTGCTCATCTCTTCAGCATCTTGTCCTCATCTTGTTCTTCATGTGCTGGACGCTGCCCTCCCAGCAGCGTTTGAGGACACACAGCTGGCTGCTGCTTTTTGCTGGCTGAAGGGTTGGCATTTTATGAGATCCCAGTAAATGGAAGGTGGCCTTGGCTCATGCTCCCTGTGACTCTTCCCACCAGCAGGACATTGGCATCTGCTCCATTTCTTGCCCTCTCCAGGAGAAAGGAGGGAAGAAGAAACAGTGATACTTTAGAGGGTTCAACAGATTGAACGTGCCCCAGTCCTGGTCTCATACTGCTCCTATTCTCCTGGCTCTGTTTGCCTCGCATGACTTTGTGGTGTTCCCAGGGAAGATGCTGTGTTCAGCATGAGGAGGATCTGCTCTCAGGGTCAGGATGGACCCTCCATGCTCCTGGTCCAGGTCCTTTCTGGTGGTTGAGCAGTTGTAGTCTATATGAGTGCACATGATGCTATGGCAGGAGGGAGATGATGAACCCTGTCCTGGGACTCATCCTCTGCAGGTCTGGCACCAAGGGAAGGCTCTTGGATCCACCACAGTATGCCAGTGCTTTTCTTTAGTCAACACGTGAATGGAAAGGTGACCAGGGCAAGAAGTTAACCATGGTGGTGGTGCACTATAACAGCAGCAGGCAGGGAGATAGGGCAGGACTGGGAGCGGGGAGTTGTGGGAGTGTGAATGAAGTTGTGGCTGCTGCCCATGGGGCAGTTTTGATGTCAGCTCCACTGTTGGGTGTAAGAAAGAACACATCTACCAGCAGGGCACAGCACGGGAGCAGCTCAAAGCATCACTTGTATGCCTGCACACTCAGGCTGGGGTCTCATTGCTTGTGTAGAAGCGTTCTGGAGTCCGTCCCTTCCTTACGCTCCTGCTTCGTTTCCTCTGTTCTCCAACACAACCTTGTTTCTCCAGCCTCCATCAGCTGTAATTAGGCTGGAAGCCCCTGGAAGGTTTTCAATCCCTGAGACATTTACACAGCACCGAGCCTCTGTGACAATTATGGGTCCAGTCCTCTCTGCTCCCGTGGTCCCGGCTGCTGCCACTGATTCAGTCCAGTCCTTTCAGCAGCTGCTCTTAATCACTGAACTTATTTTGGAAGGTCTCCAGAGCTGGAAGAATAAAAGACACTTTAGAAAAGTGGGGAGGAGGGGAACTGGCAAGAACGATTGCTTTTTAAAAGGCTACTTATTTCTTAAGATGTACTTGCTACCAATTGATTCATGCCTTAAAGCAGTCAGAAAGGTTCTGTGGGGTCATGGGGGTTCTCTCCTAAGTGCTTGCTTTCCCTGCAAAGCTTTTAAAAATTTTTGGTCGAGCAAAACCCAGTTCTTGCAAGAAATGCAGGTGAATGACACCAACCCTTTTACCTTCTCCACTCCCTCAATTATCCAGCCCCTGTCTTAGTGCTTCACCACTGTGACCTCTTCCTTCCCTCCCTGCTGTCAGTTGGCAACCTGCTACCAAGCTGATTCTGTCCCATATTCCTCTCCAATTCATGATGAATGCTGGTTTTGGGGATGATTTTTTGGCTCTTCTGTGAGAATGAGGCACTATCGGGCTGAGAATTATTGCCCTCAGTAAGCCTGTTGGTGTCTTCTGTGTGGTCCTACCCATGGGACCATCTGTGGTCCCTGTGACTGCTTCACGTACCTCCGCATGGAGAATTTTTTGGCTGCCCTTTGCATGGCAGCAGGGATAGACCCACAGCCAAGGCCCTGGCAGTGGTGGCCTTGGCCTCTCCATGCTGCTGGCTGGATGACAGCAAACAGCCCTGACCACCTCTCTCCCTGCGGAGTGGGGGGCTGAGATGCACCTGGCAGAAACTGCTTTTTGGAAAGAGGCATTTGTTGGGCTGGAAGGAAATGAAACACTATCTGTAGGTGAGAAGGCCTCTAACAAAGGTCCAGAAAACATCGTCACCTGGAAGTGTCACCAGGGCTGGTGTCAGGAGAGCCCGTATGGGACGTCAGAGGCGTGCCTGCTGGCTGCTGGCTCTGAGCTGGCGCATGTTTGTGCTGGCTCTGACCAGCTGTGATCATAGAGCCCTTGTGCCTTGACCCAGGCACAGACATCCAGGGCTCCCAGTGCCAGAGGAGCTAAACCAAGGAAAAACTGAGCAGGGCAAGGTCCATCACGTGCTTGGCAGTGCCTGGCTCTCCCTGATCCTGGCATACTTTCCTCATCCGGTTAGCTGATGCCCGCCTGGTCTGAGATTTTCTATGAGGGATGTCTTCCAGGTAGCCATGGGCTTTGGTGCCAACACCAGGGCAGCTTGTGAAGCTCAGGATGCAGAAGATCCTTGGAAGTGAGCTGGAAGGGTCACAGGGCTGAGCTGGGCTCACCGGGTTTGAGTGGTGAACTCCCCTTCGTCTTGGGCTGGGTTCATGTCCTGGCACTGCGGACACGGGCGACGCAGCTCATCTGCCCTTGGATGAGTTGAGTTGTGACTCCTTTTCTTCGCTGTCTGTACCAGGTGCTCAGAGTGACCACTCAAACACAGAGGAGTCCAACTGCTCTTCCAGGAAGACCAAGGGAGGAATGAAAACACCCACCCACAGCTCTGCAACTAAATAAACTGCTCC